CCGATTAGGCCATGCCCCCATGGCTACGCCCACTCAGAGAACCAGTTGCTAAAAATTTTCAATCCCACCCTTGCTCCTGAACCCATGAATGGTAACCTTTACTGAGAAAGGCCATAGCAATTACACCAGCTTAATGGATACGAAGTCATCTAGCAAGAGCAATTTCTATGAAATCTGCAGAAATTCCTAATCCAGCCGTCTCCAACCTGGAAGGGTGCCATGCCGACATGGGGATTTGGGGAGCTGATGTTCTAATCCATTGGGAAAGGACCAATTTAGGGAAGGTCAGTTTGACTTGCGAAAGGAGATTCGAGAATACGGAACCTTCTGAATTTCATCGAATCACATCCGTTCATTGGGCGTTGGTGGCATAATTGGTCCTTGTTTACTCTGTATGATTTCCGGCTCAGATTTATTTGGTTTCTTTGTTCTTTTTTTTTAAAAAAAGGAAGCTGCTCATAGAAATAACTGAAGATCCTACAAGGTTGGAAGTTCAAGACACTTTAGCATCTTAAGGTTCACAGCTACTGGAAAATTCCTCTATCCCGCCTTCACCAAAGAGAAACATCAAATATTCTGAGTCTTCATGGCTTCCTGCGGCCACTGGTAATTATCGATGATGAAGGAATCATAGTCAGGGCTGTAAATGAGATTTTTCACAAATGCTTCTTTGTCCTCCGGTTCTGGATACCAGGAGGCCAAGTTGTGTTTGTAGGCATAGTCAACCACCTAAGAACAAGAGATAGAAGAGGAAAAAAACAACAACATTGGACAAAGCCATTTGATCCAACCAGATGCCATCTAGATCAGTGGTCCTCAACCTTTTCTGCACCCTCATTAAATATTTTTTTGTGGCCAGGGACCTGTTGGAAGAAATATCCATTATTATTTCATAATTGTTATTATTTCATGGCAACCTGTGGGAAAAATACCCATCTGGTTCAGCCGGGAGAAAGACACTGGAAACATGGAGGCTGATTGGAAAGATGGTTTAATGAGGAAGAGGACCACCAAGCACATGGTTCTGGTCAGGGTTGGGCTCATACCAGTGTTGGTACCGGTTCGCTTTGAGTGTGTGCACAGTTCACTGTAAATTGTTCTGCGCATGCGCAAAGATCATGAAAAACTAATCAAAAACACGCTGAGACCGGGGAACCAGTTGTGGGGGGGCGTGGCCAGCCTGGGTCTCTGCCGATTCTGCAACCCAGGCCAAATGATCACTACCGCTTCGCCTGAATCGGTGCGAACCGGTAGAAACCCACCTCTGGTTCTGGTGTAGTTGACCACATGGAGTTGAGAGTGGGTTTTTTTTAATACCTTCTTTGAATTTTGCACTTGAGCTTCCTGTTCCTAGGCAAGAACATGTATTCTATTGGGTGTTGTCAGATTCTTATAGGGTCCTGTAGGGGGGTCATAGCTGGCTCTATAGCGAGGTGGCGCAGTGGTTAGGGTGCAGTACTGCAGGCCACTTCAGCTGACTGTTATCTGCAGTTCAGCGGTTCAAATCTCACCGGCTTAAGGTTGACTCAGCCTTCCATCCTTCCGAGGTGGGTGAAATGAGGACTCAGACTGTGGGGGCGATATGCTGACTCTGTAAACCACTTAGAGAGGGCTGAAAGCCCTATGAAGCGGTATATAAGTCTAACTGCTGTTGCTATTGCTATTGCTATAGGCAACAGAAGAAATGCAAATCCTAGGTTCTTGTCTGAGCCAATTTGGTCAACTTCTGGCTTATTGTTTATCTGAGCTCCCAGGTGAAATTTGGGGATCATGCAATGAAGAGGCTGAAAGGGTGGTGGGCAATTCCTATTGTAGCTTAATGGCTTTGTCCTGTGTTGGTTCTCAGGTGAGGGGTTGCTTCTAATCCAACCATTCTGCCTTTGTTCGGACTTTGCTGCAGGGAGTTTCAAAATATCCTATCTTAAATGGATTTCTGCCTGCTGTATTTCCTTTGCTTATGAATAGGGCTGTCTAGATACTTGTCTTCCTCTTTGAATAAGCTCTTTATCTCTTAAGTGCTGACATCTGTGTGGGCTATTTTGAAAAAGTGGGGGCTGCTTTCTGCCTCTAAAAACATGTTTTTTCCATTTCTACCTTTGGGGAAATATAATATTCTGCCTTTTTAATATTCCTCAAAATATTTCATTCTTCTGGGGAGGGGAGGGGCTTCTCACAGAACATGGCTATTGACCACCAAGATTTAAGATTTAAATCATAGCATTTCTTCAAGCCTTCGCAGACCTCCTGTGACAATATCATGGCCGCCAGGGGTTGAGGACCACTGATCTAGATAACTCACAACCTCCAAAGTCAACAATGCTACAATAGGTATTGTAGACAACTTAGCCATTTTATCATTTGCTCTATGGATCCCACTGCATGTAAACCTCCACTTACGACCGGTCACTTAGTGACCATTTGAAGTTAGGACAAACTTACCTTGGGGCTACGTACGACCTGCATTTGAAGATCAAACCATCCACTCCCCTTGGTTATGTGACTGAATTTCAGATGCTCTGTAACACTATTGCATTTACCTGGAGGCCACAGTGGTTAGAATGCAGTATTGCAGGTGACTGCCTGCAATTTGGCAGTTCGAATCTCACCAGGATCAAGGTTGACTCAGCCTTCCATCCTTCTGATGTCGGTAAAATGAGGACCCAGATTGTTGGGGGCAAGAGGCTGACTCTATAAACTGCTTAGAGAGGGCTGTAAAGCACTGTGAAGTGGTATATAAGTCTAAGGGCTTTTGCTATTGCATTTACAGCATCCCATAGTCATGAAAACATACTCCATAGTGAATTATGAGCACTCAAACATACGACCACAATTGAGCCCCAGATTTATGTTGTTAAGTGAGAAATTTGTCAGGTGAGTTTTGCCCCATCTGCACACTTTTTCTTGCCATATATGTTAAATGAGTCACTGCCGTTGTCAAATTGGTCACACGGTTGTTAAGTAAATCTGCTTTCCCCGTAGATTTGGCTTGTCAGAAAGTCGCAAAAGGGGGCTGTGGGACACTGCAACCGTCATAAATATGAGTCCGTCATCAAGCACCCGGATATAAATCCAAGGACCATGGGGATGCTGTAACGGTCGTTAAGTGTGAAAAAGGGGTCATAGGTCCCTTTTTTCAGTGCGGTTGTAACTTGGAATGGTCACTAAATGAACTGTTGTAAGTCGAGGACTACCTGTATTGATTCGCTTAACAACTTAACTGATGTGGCAACCACAATACAACCACAGTGTTTGCTTAATAGCTACTGCAATAAAAAAGGTCATAAAATTGTCCGTCATGTGACCGACTCATTTTATGACTCCCATGATGGGAAGGCTCCAATTCGGTCATAAGCTTGAGGACTACCTCTGAGGTAGATTTCTTTTGATGCGTATTTAGTGACTTGTAACCAGATGCTGAAATGTTAATTGTTTAAGAATGTAGAGGAAGCAGGAGTTTGTTTTCAAGAGTAGGAAGTTAAATGTCTCAGAAACTTCAAAAAACATCTTACTTTAACGGCAATTTTGAAGGACACGTCTCGAATGGAGCTCAAAGGTGGATAGAGCCTTCCTTCAGCCAGGTTTTCCTCTGTCACCTCTTGTGCAATTGCCTAGGGGAAAAGAAAGGATATGTGTGTCATCCCCCTGGCCTACAACATTTAAAAATCCACCACATAAAATCTCATAACTCTCCCCCTCCCCACTCCATGGCAACAACACAATCAATTCAACCACTTGATTGGCGCCATTTTTCTTGGGCCCACTGATAAAACTATGCTTTTAGAGCCCTTCTGGAAAAAAACATGGCGGGGCCCAACCATACCTTGGTTGAGAATGGCATTCCATAGCGAAGGGGCCATCACCGAGAAGACCTTTATTTTGTGGTCCCGTCAGAGAAACCTCCCCAATCAATGGAACCCATAACATTCCCTGCGTTCCCGTCCTTGGAACTAAAATGATAGTTAAGTGGAAGAGAAGAACACAAACCTCTGCTATGGTGAGAAAGATTTCCTCGGTGATGTGACGGACTCCACAAGCGATGATTCCTAGAGCAACTCCGGGGAAAACGTAGGCGTTGTTCCCTTGGCCAGGATAGAAGGTCCGTCCATCGGAGAGGGTCACCTTTGGAAACGGGCTCCCACTGGCGAAGATGGCCCGGCCCTATCCAAAAAAATCCAAAATAAAGTCCAGTTTATTATTATTTTATTTTATTTTATTATTTTATTGTATTTATTTTACGTATGTTGTTATTTTATATATATATATATTATTTTATTTTATTATTATTTATTATTGTATTGTATTATCATATTATATATTATATTATATTATATATTATAGTGTAGTATAGTATATTATTTCAAATTATATTATAGTATATTATAGTATATTACAGTATATTATATTATTATATTATATTATAGTATATTATATTATTATATCAATTCATATCATATTAATTATATTATATTATTATTATATTATATTATCATTATATTATATTATTTCAGATTATATTATTTCAGATTATGTCAAATTATATTATTTCAAATTATATTATATTATATTTATTATATTATTTCAAATTATATTATTTCAAATTATTTCATATTATATTATTTCAAATTATTTCATATTATATTATTTCAAATTATATTATTTCAAATTATTTCATATTATATTATTTCAAATTATATTATTTCATTTTTCATATCGTATTATTTCATATTATATTATTTCATATTTCATATTTAGCCTATGGCAAAGAAGGTGAAATGGAACAGGAAAAGAAAAACAAAAAGGGGTTTATACAAAATGTTTGTGATCTCAAAAGACTTTCAGGCATGAAATGGCTCCCTTATTGGAAATTGTCTGATGTTTTTCTTTTTTTTTTAACCATTCCAAAAATGTTTCCCAAAATCCTGGTGTGAATTCAGAACATTTTTGGAAAAATTGTTCTCAAAACTGTTGTGTTCTGACCAGAAGATCTCAGCGCATACGCAGACGCCCCGGATACCTCAGCGACTACGCATGCTCAATCCAGGGGAAAGGGGTGTTGTGTTCTGGCCAGCAGATGGCGCTATGTAAATCGCCTCTGATTGGCCATCTTGATTGGACCATGTGACTGATTGTTCAGGGATATGGGATACCATATTTTTCAGAGTATAACACGCACCGGAGTATAAGACACACCAAGGTTTTGAAGAGGCAAATTTAAAAAAAAAAGGTTTTGCACTCTGCAAACCTCCCCAAAACAGCCCATTTTTTGTGAAAATGGGCCCACTTTTCCCCCCCAATAAAAGGCATGAATAGCCTTTAGGGAGCTTGCAGAGTGCTCCTGGGGGGAAGGGCTCAAATAGGAGCAAAAATGGGCCCATTTTTTGTCAATTTTATTTGCATGCAGAGCCTTTAAGAGGCTTATAGAGTACTCCTGGGGGTTGGGAGGGGGCAAAATTGAGCAAAAACTGGCCCGTTTTTCACTCATTTCTGCCTTCCCCAGCCCCCAGGAGCTGTCTGAAAGCCTCCTACAGGCTTTGCACGGCCATTTTGGTGAAGGGGACAGGGTTTCTGGAGGCAAAAAATGCTGTATTCAGTGTATAAGACGCACCCAGATTTTCAGCCTCTTTTTTGAGGGGAAAAAGGTGAGTCTTATACTCTGAAAAATAAGGTAGGTGAAAACAGCGAGAGTTTTTAGAGTCGGTTTTCACCAAGACTATGCCAATATGATATATCCAATAAAACTATTCTTGGAGGAAATGCCTGTCTCGGAGTTTTGTTTGCAATGTGTGTATTACTTGGAACCCTGATACCGCCATCGTGAGCAATGGCATTTACTTAACGCCTGATACTTTAAAAAAAATCATAAAATTGGGCATGGTCACATGATAATCGACTTCGTCACCATCTCAACATATGACTATAATTGTGGACTCAATTATGGTCACACTTCGATGACTACCGATAGTCAGAAAATTCAATGAGAGCAGACTTACATCCGTCAAACGGTAGCAGTCTTCGGCCGTGCATTCCGCTTTGCTCGTTGGGTTGCTGAGGGCAAACACAATGGGCTTCTCGTTGAAGGTCCCCATGTCCTTCAAAATTTGGCCAGTGAAAGCACCTGCCACAGCGGCCACCCCTGCAAGGAAATTGCAGCTTGAAAGTGAGACTCGGCATTCACAACAGGGAAACAAAATGGAAGCAACAGAAAATTCGGCAAGGAAGCCGGAAGGGTTACCGATAATAGCTGTTGGTTTTATTGTCTGCACCACTTTCTCCAGTGTCTTCACAGTAGGATGGTCATGAGCAAACATCTCCTTCTCGTGGTTCAGATGACTCCTGCCCTGGGAAACAAGTAAAGCACAGGCAAACATATTTCCAATTTAAAATATATATATATAAACAGACTGAAGCAAGCCATTTCCCCAACACTGTGGATCTAACGGGGATTAGATTCATGAAACGTGTTCTCAGTGGTTACTCAACAAACTCGGCCTAACTCATTCTTCCTAAAGCAGGGGAGTCAAACTCAAGGCCCGTGAGCCAGATCTAGTCCGCGGAATGCTTAGATCTGGCTCGCAGGGCTGCCATGGAAACAGTGAAGGATCGGCCCATGGTGTCTATGCCAGCAAAAACAGAGCTCAGGAGGGCCATATGCCCCTCCCCATCTTCATTTTTGCTGGCAGAGGGTTGCAGGAGGCCGTCGCAGCTGAAAACGGAGCTCGGGAGCCCGTTTTCACTGGCAGAGTGCTCAGACGCCCATAAGTGTCCCCAACAAGAGTAACATCAGCTGGCTGTGCCCCCCCTGGCCATGCTCTCCCAGTCTCCCCGAGGTCAAACGCAACCCTGATGTGGCCCTCAATGAAATCAAGTTTGACACCCCAGTCCTAAAGAGTCACCACACGTGGGTTTGAATCCCATCCTCGTCGCCAGTTTAGAGGATCAAGGCAGGAACGACGCGAGAGCCAGGACGTAACAATAACAACAGGAGTTTATTCAGAAGCAGGAGCTGACAGCGATTCAAATGTAACAATTCCGCGCCAAGGTATTTATGCTTGCTTAGTTAAACAGGGGAACCAATGGGAGGCCTGGTAGCGTCTAGCAACTGCTGACGCAGTACCCTGGCCAATCAGGTTGGCTCAGCTGTCTAGCAACAGGCTATGCTGCCCCTCACCCAATCGGGGCGCAGCCTAGACTGTTGCTGGCCTCCCGGTCATAAGTGGAGGATTTTATGAATCCTCAACAGGGATTTTGCAGTAACCTTCCCCTGGAGTGTGGTGGGAATGGAGATTTTACTCTATCCTTCCCCTGCCATGCCCACCAAACCACACCCACCAAGCCAGGCCCACAGAACCCGTAGTAAAAAAATTTGAATCCCCCCATTGATTGAAGTGATACCGTAACCACTTTCTTGATATCTGGAAATGCTGGTTTTATCAGATCCGAACATCTGATTTTACAAAAAAAGCACCCTGCTTGAAACTGCCTTCATTCTTAGATGCTACGTTAACAATTCTTAGGTTGATTAGGACTTGAATTATTAACTTATCATCTGTCTTAGATTGTGAATCTAGTTGTAGTTTATCCACATATAAGAATCCTTGCCATTACTGCTATTTCTACAACTTCTACTACTAATATTATATTTATATACTATTGCCGTGTCTTGCAAGATTTTTTGTAGTGTAAGAATTAGGCAATAAAGCATATTGAGTACACTGTAATTATTTTATTTTATTTATATTATTTTATTCTTTGTTTAACTTTTCACCCTGAGGTTCATGGCAGATATAAAATAGAACATCCCCTTTGTTTACAACTGCTACCAGCAACTTTTGAAATTGTTAGGTGTTTTTTTTTCTAAATTAGAACCTTACATAGATTATAGAAAGGAAAGTTGTTCAAGAAAATAAATGGGAATCAAAATATGCATTATATGCTGTAAATGAAAAGTATACTACATTAATATAAGTACCACAAATTTAAAACTGTATTTAAGAAAACTGGCAAATTCTCTTGGTCTAAATTAATTTTGCCATGCAAATAGTTTGTACTCAAGGGATGGTAAAAAAAATATTCATAAAGGGAGAAATTCTTGTATTTATCAGTTATAATGTCTGACTTTCTAGCTTAGTGTCCATACTGGGAGCAAGAAATCTGCCTTGAGCAACCCTCAAAATAGCTTTACTGTATTTGAAACCTATGGTGAAATCTCATGCAGGGCAGTATAAAATATTTTATTGTTTTATTACCGTATATACTCGAGTATAGGCCGACCCGAATATAAGCCGAGGCACCTAATTTTACCACAAAAAACTGGAAAAGTTATTGACTCGAG